TTTCCCACCAGGCCTCGCGCGGTTCAGACCAGGCTTGGCTCCGGCCATCCAGGGGTTAAAAGAAAGGGGTCTCTGGGGCGGGAGGGGCTCCGTAGAGCCTCCATGTGCCATAGCAGTCGACCTCAAAACTTGGTGCTGGTGGGAGGGGGGCAAGCCAGCGAGGGAAGAAGGCCTGGCCTGTCACACTTGGGGGCAGGGTGGGGGGGGCAAGAGAGGCCTTTGGCTGCCCTGCCTGGACAGCGGGGTTCATCTTTGGGCCTGACGGGCTGACCCCTCAGGAGATGAGAGGCTGCTTGCTCGCTTGAGGTTACTGCTGCTGCTCCTGCTTTGAGGGCGCCTCGTCAAGAGGCATTCTAGGGTCTGTGGCCAGACTCTGAAATGGATGTGAACAGGAGGTGGGGTCGGGAGATTTCTGGGGTTTCCCCGGATTTAGGGAAACAGGAATCTGTGTCAGCACCCAGGGGTAAGCTTAGACATGAAGCAAGAATATAGGAGGATGCCTTATACTGAGTCAGGCCTTTGGTCCATCTAGCCGGCTGTTGTTAGTAGGGGCTAACCACAACTGTGGAGGAGTGGTGATCCTTTGGCACACCAAGTGTTTTAGACCAGTGCTCCCCCAACCTTGGGCCTCCAGATGTTCTTGGACTTCAGATTCCAGAAATCCTGGCCAGCAGTAACCACTGAATCAACCAGGACGTTTCACCTCACACTAAGCAAATCCCAGCAGCAGCTCGGAAGTGCTCAGAACTCAAGACATTGCTTGGAGAGACTCCTATACCAGTGGTCCCCAACCTTGGGCCTCCAGGTGCTCTTGGACTACAACTCCCAGAAGCCTTCACCACCACCTCTGCTGGCCAGGATTTCTGGAAGTCCATCAACATCTGGAGGCCCAAGGTTGGGGACCACTGTTTTAGACTATAGTTTCCACCATCCTTTCTCATTGGTAATACAGGATGAGGATTCTGGGAGTTGAAGTCCAAAACAAATCTGGAGTGCCAAAGGGCCACCACCCTGGACGACAGTTTGGGGAAAGCATTTACTGCCTAGCCTTACCTGGAGATAGTAAGGACTTGGATTTTCTTGATGGCGAGCAGTATTTCTCCAATTGAAGCATGGCCCGTAAAGTGACTGTTTGCTTCACAACTGGGTCTGCCCTGTTTGAAACAGCACTCAGGGCTGCATGGTCCGATCTGGCAAAGCAAGACTCCTAAGACTAGGTTATTGGGCCCAATATCTCAGCGTTCAAATATAGATGAGGGACTGGTAAAAAAACAAAGACAAAAACAAGGGCTTGTGCCTCATTTATGGACTTTGTGAGTGCATCTTAATAGTTACTAAGCCAGAAGAGTGATGCTGAGCTAAACAGTTTGGATAGATTGAGCAGGATTCTTCCCACTTGGATAAAGTAGGAAATTTTTGACTGTATGGGCAACTGTAGTGACTGGGGACAACATTCAATCCCCCCCTTTTTTTTTGAAGGACAGTAATGAGAAAACAGTGGGTCAAAATGGGTTTTTAGGTCACAGGCAAGTAAGTAAAACATGTCCTAACCAGATTCATGTTGTTGTTGTTGTTGTTGTTTTACCAAAATGGGCTGCAGCTCCTATGATGACCATTCCTGTGTAGCCAGCAATAATGAATTATAGCAGTTCCAGTTCAAAAACATCTGGAGGTCTCCATAATTCTCCCCCTTGATATAAGGCCTTTGTACTGTTCACTAGCTTTTCTCATCTTTTGTAGACACCTTCATGTGTCTGAGAGATGCTACACTAGTGTGGCCAACTCACTGCTTCATATCAGTATTGTCAAATAAGCCCCCAGTATCCCATTCTTTGCTGGGAGATGATGATGATCATCATCATTGTCTTCATTGTGTACCCTGAAGGCAATTCTGATTTACAACAACCCCTTTCAGGATTTTCTAGGTAGAGAATACTGAGAAGTGGTTTACTATTCCCTTCTTGTGCGGGTGTCCTGGGACTGTGCAACTTTTGCCCAAGGCTACACAGGCTGGCTCTACTTCCCAGGAGGCATAGTGGGAAATCAAACTCCCAACCTATGGCTCCTCAGCCAGAGACCTAAACCACTGAGCTACTTTGAATTACAGTGATTGGTCAAAGGCCACATCCTATCTGCCCTAGACTGTTCAGAAGCAAAATCTCATAAGTGCAGTGAAGCATATTTTAGAAACAAAACATTGGTTCTGGAATTTCAGAGCACAACAAACCTAATAAAGACTAGTAATGACTTAAGATTAATAATGACTTAAGTGTCTCTGTGTGTATACTTCATGGTGGTCACATGCCTGTCAAATGATAGGGTGTTTGTAGTCCAAAAAAAGAACTGCTCCAAGTTCTGATACTTGTGCAGTTAGAAGTTGAATATCTTCATCTCTAGCCAGGCTTATTCAGGGCATTTTATTTGTTTACAATTATCGGGAGTTGTAACTTGCTGCATCCAATGAATGTCTGTTAGTTTAGTATTCTGTCTCCATCTGTTCACCCTCTGGTGCACATTCTTATTGCCTGGTACTTAAAGCCACAGCATCTGTATTTGGTACTTCACATGGTCTAAGCTAAAGAGAGGTCTTTATGTGTGTGTGACGAAGTAGGAGATGAGTTCTCCAGGTCTTCATTTGAAACAGTTGCAGTTCAGCAACAGAGCACATGCTTTCACGTGTGGAAAGAGCCTGGCTTCAGCCACTGCTGCCTACACTTAGAAAGGGATGGAATGGCAGGCAATGGGAAATACCTTGCCTGTGACTCTGGAGAGCCTCTGCCTGATGGCCCCGGCAGCCCTGCAGGCAGACAGCCTGGCCTGATGTAAAGAAGCTTCTCATTAAAAAAAGGACATTGGGTTGGAAAGAAATCTAACTGCTTGGAGAGGCAGGTAGCGTAGATATGACTTCTCTAGTTAGATCTAGCTGCTGGTTCCGTTACAGCTGTTAGACGTGCAGAAGGAAGAAGAAGGTGTAATAACTCATCTAACCACGAAACATCAAATAGTGCCTGCTTCATCCGCACTGCACAAATAAATTGTTCCTCTTGTAAGTTGGCGATGCCCACCTTACTAGATAAAGGTTATAATAATGCAGGCTTAATGTATCAGATTTCCATGAAGCTCATGTTATGATAGCCAAGGTGGCCCTCTTGCCCCTCTCCTTTAATAGAGCAAGTTAAACCCCTCAGAAGGAGCAGAGCAGTTCCCTGGCAGTTGTTGATAGATGCCATCTTACTTTTTGGATGATGTGTTGGTGCCTCTCTGCTGCATTGGCTGAGGTTCTTCTTCTAGAATCCCGATGCCTTTGAAGCATATTTCATCACGGATTGCTCTTCTTGACAAAAGCATTCGTCAACCAAGGCAGATAACTCCTCCTCCTCATGTTCACCTTCACCAGCGCTGTTCCTATTTTCCAGCTTGAGGTCAAAGGGGGTGAGTGGAGACCTACTTATCATCAGCGTCTGTGCAGGAGACTCCCAGAAGCATCATCACAAATTTGATAGTAGAAAAATTCGAGTATACCTACAGTTACTGGAAATCACCAGTGTTTAGAATCAGTTACAGACTCTGTAATTCTTTCTTTTCGGAGCCAGTGGACAGGGCTGACATACTTATGGACAGATGACCATAAATAATTGATATTTTTAAATGTGTCTGTTGTTGCTCCCAGACTCTGGAACTCCCTCCCACTGGAGGCCAGGCGGGCCCCATCTTTGCTGTCCTTCCAAAAGAAGGCAAAGATTTTTCTCTTCAGGCTTTCTCTTAGTGACTGGCTATCTGAGACCAGTGTTTAAATGTTGTGCTTTGTTGCTTTAAAATGTGTTTTTAGCATTGAAATCCTTTGCCATTTTTCATAGAATATGTTTTTAATTATTTTCAAATGTTTGTATACTTTTTGTTTTTAGCTTCCAAATACTGTCTTTTTAATGAGGCAAGCTGCCTTTGGTACTTTTTAAGGACAAAGGCAGGGTAAAAAAAACTTCAAATAAAATGAAATGTACATCTGCCATGTATAATTTATACATATACTGTATATCAAGTTGAGCAAGCTTTTGCTCTAATTGTAGGCTGCACGGATGCAGGGTCTTCTCTGAAGAGCTTCTAAATAATTAACCTCTCTGTGTTGCTGGTGATGGTGAATAGCTCGCTCCCTTCCATGTAGCTGGTTTTCAGGGGTGTTGCTTTTTCTTTTAGCAGATATTTGACTCTGAGGAAAGGGAACACCAGAAGAGCCTCCTGAGTGGGTGGCAGGCTGTACTTTGGTGGTAGAAACTGACTTTTTCGCTTGAGTTCATCATCTCTTCCAGACTGAGAGCAGCTGATTTTCCAGCCTCTCTGAGTGCAAGTGACTTTGAGTTCGGTTTGCGTTTTTTGCTCTTTAGAGAGGAAAGAGCACTCTGAGAAGGCTACACCGCTCCTGTGTATAGATTTATTGTCGTTTGAGGTTTCAAGATAACATTGTTTCAGTAAGCCAGGTGATGCAATGTGCCTTCATCAGATTTGGCAATAGAAGCTGGCGGTTGACCTGCACATCCCTTCCATGTTTAATAGTTTTTCCATGAAACGTCTTGGCTTTTATTTCTAGAGTGGGCTGAAGGGAAATTTGTGTGCAAAGAACAGTCAGACACCCCCTGCATGCTAATTTCCTCAAAAAGAAGGCTCTGATTTCAGGAACATGTAAAAAAAAAAAGCATATTGTCTGTGGCAGGTGGATCTTGAGGCAGTGGCCCACTTTCCCTTCTGCCAGAGGAACCTTGAATCTCAGGACTACGGGGCACAAGGACCTTTCCAGGAAGTCTTGGGAACAACACTTGGCATAGGGAAGAATAAATTATTGGCTTCATTTCATTTGTTAATCACTTCTCAGCTAGTGGAGGAACCTGTGGCAGGCTAAATGGCTATACTTTTTTCAAGGTAGGATACCCCTGTTTTTGTATCCTGGTTGTGAGAAGAGAGAGGAGAAAACAGGTCATATATCTGTCTAGGCCAGCATACTGCTTCCCACAGTGGCCATCCATGAACAAGGCTCATAGGCACTAATCTTTCTTACTGTCGCCCCCAAGTACCTCTTATTCAGTGGTACATTATACTGTTACTGAACATGGAGGGTCTCACATTGCTATCAGGGCTGATAGACCTTGATCTCTGTTTCCTCCTCAGATTTATCTAATCCCATTTGAAAGCCCTTCAGGATATTTGCCATTTTAGTATTTTGCTGCCTTTATGATTTTATGCTGCAGACAAATTCATTTTCATGGGTGGTTCTGTTCTCTGATGTTGGTTATCTTGGTTTCATATTGTGCTTTCTTAAGTATTGTTTCATTGTGTGTGCATGCATATATTTAACCCAGTTCCTACTCCCAACCAGAGTAGACCTACACTAGCAATTGGATTTGAGCATGTATAGTTAACAGATAGCACAACAGCCCAGGCTGGTCTGCGCATTCGTTTGTTTAAAAATGCATTAAATAAATATGAATATTTCTGAGAGGCATCTCCCTGATTTTGTTTAAATCGCCGCTTCTAAATCTTGGGTGTCCAGATGTTCTTGGACTACAACTCCCAGAAATCCTGTCCAACACAGCTAGTGGTAAAGGCTTCTTGGGGTTTTACTCTATCTTGGGACCCAAGTTTGAAAACCAGTGGTTTAAAGAGGGTATGCTGGATTGGACCGGCTTTTGTCTGACTCAGTAAAGGTATTCTCACATTTCTCGGAACAAGAGAAGCCAGGTTGTTCGTTCCCTCTTGAAGCTGCCCTTCTTGATTGAGCTCTCTCTTTCCCAGTACAGGAAATTAAGTGGACACAAGAACTCCCTCCCCCACCCCCCCCAGTAACAATGAAGGGGCTGGTTGGATTCTACTGAAAGTTGTACCTCTTAACCTAAGAAGAGCTGATGCTGAGACCAGTAAGTAAACACTGTGGGAGTGGGGAAAGTCCTGAAATAATATGCATAGAGCAGAAGTGGGGGGATTTTAGGCTGTAAGTATACAGGGCATCAGCTGGTGCCTGGTATGAAAGACAGGGGCATAGGATAAAAGAATTCTGAGCCCAGGAATTTGCCTTGGGTCCAAAACAAAAGCAAAAAGTAGCTGCAGATCTTACAAATAAAATGGTCTTCTTGATATTGCCAAGCTTTCATCGTAACGAGGAGTATAATTTCAGACAGCCAGGATGAGAGCTGCTGTCACTTCTGCTATGGTGAGACCCCTGGGAGTCAGAAATCCTTATTTGATCCACTGCAAATCACCCAGACGTCTCCCAGTAGATCTCAATATACTTTCTGCGTGCCTTTGATACAAGAAGTGGAGATACCAACAGCTTAGTTCATCCCTGTAGGTGCTATTTTGTTTGCCACTTCTCCTGCCGATTGGTGCCCTTTTTTTCCCCAGATTTTAGAATTACATGCAACATCACAGATTCAAGTGGCATTATCTGTTCAATAATGTGCTCAGCACCAACACATCTTTGTCTTTGCAAAAAGGGCTTATCTGTGCTGAGTGTCTAGCTCCCAGAAGCTCAGGAAGCAGTCTCACAGTCAGATCTAGCCCAGTAATGTTGACACAGATGGCCAGCAGCAGCAGCAGCAGCTCTCCCAGGCTGTGTCAGGGATCTCTGAGAAGCCGCATCTTATCTGTCTATGCAAGCAAAACTTGACTTCTCTGTCCATTGTCCAAGTCAGGATTCCTTCACAATTTGTCAAGTCATGAAGGATTTGCTCAGCAGAGCTGGGATTCTTGATCTTGGCTTAGAAATAAGTGTCCCCAAAAGTTTTTTTGAGTAAAAAAAAAAAAAAAAGAACTTTACTTTTGGTGGTGTAAGGACTATCTTTGTCTCTTCTCCTTCCCTTGTGGATTCAAAGAATTTGAGGAAGGACCATGGAGCAGCCCAGAGGCAGAAGTTTCATGCAAGTACTTTGTGAGAAATACAGTCCAGAAAATTTCCCATACCGTCGTGGTCCTGGGATGGGCGTGCATGTTCCAGCTACACCTCAGGGTTCACCTATGAAAGGTACCCATTCTGACTGCTGCTTGCCTTAGGTGGGCATTTTGTTCCGTTGTTCAGTCTTCCAAGGGTTGTGGTTGAAAGGTGGGTCTGAAAACTGCCATTCCCTTTTTCCATTCTTATCCCGGTTGGGGGTGGGGGAGAAAGGCAGGAGAGAGCAGGTAAACCCTAAGGTATTTTCTTTCCAAATCCAAAGCACATTCTGCCCCCAAACACCCTGCCTGTACATACATCATGTCGTTTTAAATTTTTGTCAAGTTGATTTGTATCACAGCTATCCCCGAAGGGGCAAAAACAAGGAAGTTATTTGGCTGGAAATGACGGTAACTATGTTTGACAGAAAAGAGCAGAAATAAGTTAAGTTGGTCAAGGACATAATTTTGAGTATGTCACTCAGAATTAACTGCAATGCAGTCACCTTAACAAAAACTTTCAGGCTGTTCCACTGATGTCTCCGTAGGAGTGCCCAGAAATGATGGAAAGGACGTTGTGATGGCAAACCTTGTTGCATCTTTAAAAGTGTGCGCCCAAAATAGCACAGTGCATGCATCAGCACATCACTTGCCCTTTCTTAGATGTGCAGCTCTCAGCGGCCCCACTCGTCTCAACATTTCCCACAAGGAGCAGTGAAATTTGTAGCCGTCCCTTTCACAGTCTTGTTTTGTTGTAAGACCCCCGTGGGAATACTGTATATACTCAAGTATGCCTAGTTTTCCAGCACAATTTTTTTGCTGAAAAAGTACACACACACCCTCGGCTTATACTCGAGTCAGTGTCAAAATTACATGTTCCCTGCAGTGCGGGTGTTCTCCAGACTCCCCCGCTCATCTATGAGTGCCTGCAGCTTCTGTGGGTGATCTGATGGCCTGGGTTAAGTGCACTGCATTTCCACTTCCAGGACACTCCCATCCTCCTCCTCCTGCGTATTCTATGTACCCACCTTCTTCCTCCGTCTCCCTCCATCTTGTTACACAGCAGTAGAGTAGATAAGCGCAGCATCCAGTGTGAGTCCCCCCTCCTCAGGCAGTGAAGTGTGTCTCGCAGCACAGAAGGGCAGTATTTTCAAAAACATTTAACCTACTGATGCCTCCATTGATGTAATTTTATTGGTATCTATTTTTGTTTTTGAAATTTACCGGTAGCTGCTGCATTTTCCACCCTCGGCTTATAATTGAGTCAATATATTTTCCAAGTTTTTTTGTGGTAAAATTATTTCCTCGGCTTATATTCGGGTCAGCTTATACTCGAGTATAATACAGTACAATACCTTTAACCTGGGAAGATAAGAGCTTACAAAAATACTTGCATATTTTATCTTATTCTCAAGTTTATGAAGCAATTTTTCCTTTTCTGGCCACTTTTGGAAATTTTCTTCTTCAGATCGTCACTATAATTCACCAGCTATGAAACTTTTAAAGACTCACCAGGTCTTAGGAACATGTTCAACTTATGACCCAGCTGTGCAGTAGGCTGTGTTTCTTATAGTGAACTCTAACCAATTGGTTGGTTCCTTTGGCTAGGCACCTGCTTGAAACAAGACAATCACGCTAAACCGTTCCCAGTGATTCTTCATTTTCTTTTTCCAGATCGTCTCAACCTCCCCAGCGTGCTTGTGTTGAACAGCTGTGGGATAACCTGTGCAGGGGATGAAAATGAGATTGCCGCCTTCTGCGCTCATGTGTCTGAGCTGGATCTTTCTGACAATAAACTGGAAGACTGGCACGAGGTACAGGAGATGCCACGAAAGTCCGTTTAGAGTTCTGAATGCTAGCCAGAGTGTGTATCTCTGCTGCCATTAGGAGCACAAACATCTGGAGTCTTGGGGTGTAAGAGCTCCATCCCTTAGGGTCAAGCAAAAATGGAGGCACAGAACAGGGCACAAGCCTCCAGTCTGTAATCCACTTGAGATCCCTTACGACTGGTAGCCACGACAGGGCACAGAAGTTGAGCATCATCCAAGGAAGGGGCACCCCATAAAGCTTCAAACCCAGTGAAGATCAGGAACAACAGGAAAGTTAGAAGTTGGAGGGGGTGGTCATAAAAACAGGGGGACTCACAAATAAAAAAATCTTTGCCAGAAATGGAATTTAGTGCATGCAAGATTGTAGTAAAGCTGAATGCCGCCTGGTGAAATAGCCCTTTGACAAACTGTTGGCTCTTGTGAGGTTTTTTTTTCTCTAGCTACCATTCAGGAAGATTTTATGAAGGCTGCTAGGTATTTGCTCCCCCCGGCCCCCATCAAACCCTTTCTTAAAGGTGTAATTAAATGAACCATTCAAGTGAACAAGCAATTAGCCAATCAATCCAAATCAGCAAATAGCAGCCGTATGAATTACAGATAACTATCTTGAATGCTGTTTGAGTCTATATCGTTCGTTGGCTTAGTGAGCTGCGGTGGAAAGCCCAGAGGCTGGCCTTTCTTTCTTTTCTTTGCTTGCTTGCTTGTGACGGAATATTGTTGGAGATTCTGTTACGGCCTGATACACTTCTCTGTCTGTCTCCCACCCACTCTTTTTTTTCTTATTCCTCCCAGGTCAGTAAAATTGTGTCAAATGTCCCTCATTTGGAGTTTCTCAACTTGAGTTCCAACCCTTTGAATCTGTCAGTTTTGGAGAGGGGATGTGCCGGGTCCTTTGCCGGGGTCCGCAAACTTGTGCTCAACAACAGTAAAGCTTCCTGGGAGACGGTCCACACACTGCTGCAAGAACTACCAGAGTAAGCCTAAGGGAAGGGAGCTGATGCAGGGGGCATGCAGAACAGAAGGTTGAATAACAGACTGCAGAAGCCCTCCGGGCGCAGTGACTGTTTTAACCACAAAGCAAGAAGTTCCTGGTTCACATCTGGTTAAAACCCCAAAGTTCACTAGGTCAATAGTTTCTAGCCAATGGTATATAGGCCACCATTGAGATGCAGAAATAATCTAGGGTTTCCATAGTTCCTTCTAGAACTCAGTTTGAGTAATTCTGCTTGTTGTATAGAAAGTGTCAGTTCTGATTTCACAATTCCGTAATCGATAATGCTCCCGTAACATAATTTTGCTGCTCTTATAGACCAACCTTCATTTCAATTGTTTTAGAGCACATTTGGACAGTGTAATTTTATATCACTTGCTAGCTCTGAACTTATCGTTATGTTCAAAGCTTCATGCCCATCTTTTCAATTTGCAGAAAACTGACTATCAAGTTGGTAAGGGATGCCCATAATGTACATGTTATGCCATTTTCCATTATGAGGGTCAACTATCTGACTAATGGAGGTGTTGGCTTTTGAATGAGACAAGATGGAAATGGGAGAGAGGCTGCCTGACAGCTTCCCATTAAGGATCTTCTTGAATTTTCCGTAAGAAAACAGATGTTTTCCCCGCAGCATTCTGCAGGGGGTTCCACTTGGCAAGTAGACTTCTCCGAATCAAAAGCCTGCTGGGTGGGCTAGCCCATCCTTCTCTTCTGACACCATGTAAACCACATGCCTCTGGAAACCCAAAGACAGGAGTGCAGAGTGATCAGCTTTTCCCCCAGCTTCTGGCATTCAGATGCATTCGAAAGATGTTTCATTTTCTTTTGGATTGTTTTACAGCTGACCCACAAAAGCTTCTGCCCTGTAAAACTTGGTAGCCTTCAGGGTCACAGGACTGTCTGCATTTTTTTTTCTGAATGCAGCTTCTGGAATTCCCTGGGTTATGACAGTCAACCAGCCTGCCAGCTGGAGGAAACTGAGAGGGGCAATTAAAATAAAAAAGTAACTTTATCAAGTTCTGATTGAGAGGGATACTGCTTTTGATAAAAACAGACAGATTATTATTATGCTTATTATTATGTTGCTTCTCCAATTTTATTAACTTCTTTTCTGTTTGAAAAGTATACATTATTGAATATTTTCTCTGGGAAATCCAGCATATTCCCTCCTGGCTGTAGCAATGCAGCCGGTAAAAATGAGGCTCTTTGCCCCAGTTTTGCTGGAAGCTGAGACGTGCAAGAATATTTTATTTTATTTTTCTCCTTGCAGCTTGGAGGAACTCTTCTTGTGCCTTAATGACTATAAAACAGTGTCTTGTTCTCCAGTTTGCTGTCACTCTCTCAAGTTACTCCACATCACTGACAATAATCTCCAAGACTGGCCTGAAATCCGAAAGTTGGGGATCATGTTTCCGTCTCTCGACACGCTCGTCCTGGCCAATAACTACCTAACGACCATTGAAGACTCAGAAGATTCTCTGGCAAGGCTGTTCCCAAATTTGCGATCCATCAGCCTGCATAAGTCAGGTGAGTCTCTGAACAGAGTATGTTCTTCAGAAGCAGGACCTCATCCTGGTGGTGAATAGCGTCCCACCTGGCTGCTTCTTCACATGCAAGCAACCCCAAACCAACCCTGTTTCTAATGCAATGATTGACATTTGCAAATAGTTTTGAGGAGGGCAGTGACAGCACGACACAATTGTAATTATTGTGACTTTTTATGCACAGGCACTAGTAAGAGTGATTTTCAAGCAGGAAGTACTTATGCAAAATGTTTTGGCTTCTGCCTTCTTCAGTTTCTCTAGTAAACAGATGCTGTTTTCCATTTTATTATTTTTGCTCTTAAAAACATAGACACAAATTACCCTAAAGTGAACAACGCTAAAACATTGACAAGGAAACAGATGATGAAAGCAAGAAAAGGGAGAGTGAAATTAGTAGGCATCCTTTAGTCTCGAGAGACTATGGTAACGTGCTCTGTATGAAGGTCTTGGAACATCGTCTAGTGTGGCTGAGAAGGCCAGTTCGAGAGTGACCATCCCTTCCACACTGAAGACCAAATCCAATCTGTCCCCCGTCCAGCTCCCTAATTTTGCTGCTTTCGGGACTGCCTCTTTGCCTCGGCCTGCTGTACAAGTGTCTCTTCAAATTGGGAGAGGCCATGATGCACCGCCTGCCTCCAGGCTGAACGCTCAGACGTCAGAGTGAAATTAACATAAACAAAAAATACATATATTAAGGCCTAATAGTAATAGAAGTGTCTTACCCTTGAAGGGAAGCAGAAATTTACAGTGAGAATATGTGTTTATATGAGGTTGTGGGTCTACTTAGATTCCCTAGCCCCTCTACCTCGAAATTCTATGTGTGTTTGTGCATAAAGGCTACATTTTAAAAACTTCTCCTGTTTTCTTGTTTGGTGGCTTGTTCTAGCTTTCTAAGGGCCAGTATCCTGTTGATCTTCTGCTGGGCAGAAAGCCCTACCAGTGTGCCTATATCTGAGTGTGGCTGTTGTGTAACCATTGCTACTGCGGAAACAGAGGGACGGTTTATCTTGTGGGGAGCAACACGTTTTCAAGAGCTTGCGTGACTCGGGTGGGTGGACTTTTCCGATCGGCAAAAGCTCAGGAGGCTACTGGCCCGATTCCTTCACCGTTTTCATGGCCTAAATGCTTCCTTTCTTTAAAGCAGGTCTGCATTGCTGGGAAGACATTGACAAGCTTAATTCTTTGCCCAAACTGGAGGAAGTGAGGCTCTTGGGCATCCCACTCCTTCAGCCCTACACCAACGAGGAGCGCAGGAAGCTGGTAATAGCAAGGTCTGGAGATCTTTGTTGTTGGTCTGGCTTAATGGAGCAAGCCCTGCGTCATCTTAAGCTCAAGGAGCTCAGTTCATTTGGGGGCTGGAGGGGTGTGAGGAAATGTCCAGCTGGAGAAGACCTCTCCTCTTACAGGAGCCCTTGATAAAGCTTTCCATCAGTGAAAAATACAGTAAGAAGATGCTCGGTAAAAATGTTAATGTGTTCGCGAAGGCTTTCACGGCCGGGATCTAATGGTTGTTATGGGTTTTTTGGGCTCTTTGGCCGTGTTCTGAAGATTGTTCTTCCTAACCTTCAGAACACGGCCAAAGAGCCCTAAAAACCCACAGCAACCAAAAATGTTAATGCCTTTCTCTACAGAAGTAGGCTTCTGTTCTTCTAGAATGGTGGGATCACACTTCTTCAGGCAGAGTGGTCTGACAGGTTGAGAAACCCTATGGTTTTTGAAGGAGAGCAAAGTGGCAGACCAGGAAGATAGCTGGACAGCCCATCTCTCTTTAAGCATCATCTCAAAGTGTCATCTTGAAGTCCATCCTGATGGACCAGCAGAACATGGGCGTGGAGGGCTAGCCCAACAGTAAGGTTCTTGAGTAGAAACCAGGACTTCAGCTATAGTCAAATGCAGTGCTTAAGAGCTTGAAGTCCTGGTTTGTATCTGGATTGGGCATGGTGTCAATATCTGTTGAGTATTTAGGTCCCACTCGTGTGTGTATCTTGCTCTGTTCCCCCTCATTATATGGTTTGCCTGTTTGTTTTATATCCTGTCTTCCTCCCCAACTCAAGGCACTTTGCAACAAAATTAGCTTTTAAAAGTGCAGATTGAAAACGCTTAGAAGAAGATAGCATTAGAGCACAAGTGAGCAAATTATAATATGGAAGCCAAATTGGGATGGAAGAAATTGAAAGCATGGCAATTGAGGAAATGGAGCACACATCTCTTAAAAGCTCCTCCTCAGTTGCCAAAAGGTTACCTGCTTGAAGAGAGATTTGCCTGCTATTGGAAAAACATCAAGGGTTGCAGGTGGAGAGTACCAGTTAATCTAGCATGATGGGGAATTTCACAGCCTGGAAGAAGAGACAATGAAAGGCTTCCCTTGCATCTCCATCAAGTATGCTTCTGAGGGTGTTGGTAAAGGGAAAAGAGCTTGCAAGAGGTCCTGTGTACTAGAAAATTGTGGGCATTTTAGCAAAACATGTGTAGCAGCCCTGATTGGGGCTACTTAAAGGAGCTTGCCTGACCACTGGAAAATTTCCTAACTGTTAGAGCAGTACGACAGTGGAACCAGTGGCCTCGAGAGGTGGTAAGTGCTCCAATACTGGAGGCCTTCAAGAGAAGCTTAGCCAGCCACCTGACAGATATCCTTTGATTTCTATTTCTATATTGAGCAGGGGGTAGGACTTGATGGCCTTAGAGGCCCCTTCCGACTTCATTATGCTGTGATTCTATGGTCGGTTCCTAGGCACAGCTCAAAATGCTGGTGGTGATTTCTACAAAGTGGTGTTCAGTTTGGCTCCTGGCTCCTTCCAAAAGCTTTACATTCTCAGTGACAGCAATGGCCCTCAGGTTTATTTTGGTTTCTCAGTTCTCCAGCATGACTACCACCTTCTTAGATCTACTTGGACTATTCGAATTAAGCTATTGGTCAACATAAAAAATTTCCTGCAATGTCCGAAGCCTTTGTTGCATTGTTCAGCCCGGCTGCTGCTGGATCATGCAAGTTAACACAGCTAACTTCTTTTTATGAGTTCACGTGGGCAAAAGACAGTTCGGGTGAATGAATCCTTTTTTAAACAAATTCAAGATCAGTGCCTACTGTGACTCAGATGTCGGATCTTGGTGAGTAAGGCAGACTTTTTTGTTTTGTTTTTGGTCATTCTTCTAATAAATGCTTTGGAAATACTTGGCCATTAGCAGAACAGTTTTCGATCTGCCAGTCCGCCATACCTGCCTTAGTCACCAGATGCCGAGTTCTCTGCTGTTTACACATTCTTGTGACCTCGGGACTTTCAAGGCATGGATAATGGTGGCATAAGTATGATTATGCAGGAGATCTTATTAAATATCTCTGTGTATAATTAATTTTCACAGCATGGTTTCAGCTCCTACAGAATCCAGATTAGGAAGGCAGGAGTATGAGATGAGAACGTCAGCAGGGAGCCTCTGTTGTTAAGTAAATTGATATAGAAAAGGAGGAAAATAGGTTTCCGTGGCCTTCCTTTCAGTTCTATGCAAGAGTTGGAGTTATACGGGACACCTTATTGGGTAGGGTTGATGAAGAGGGCATAAACTGCTTACAAATGCTTCACTCACCTGAATATTTAATTCTGTTTTGCTATCCTGACCCATCAGGAGTCATACTGCAGTGTTAAATACCAAAATCAAAGTTTTGGTATTTAATACTGCAAAGTTTATAACTGAAATCAAGATATAAAAACCTTAATTGGAAATGATTCTATAGTATGAACATCAAAATTAAGTTCCTACTTCTGAAAGCATGCTTCTCAGTGTTCCCAGGATGTTGTTGCTCTTTGCTTTCTTCAAGTCAGCAAAGGAAAGCTGCCGATTTCCAAAGACCTGGCGAGTTTTTTGCCATCTCCGATCACAGCCGGGCGTGCTTTGAGCTTTCTCATTCCTGCCAGCGTCTAAATCTTGTGCAGTCCCTCTTGAGACCAACTGTTCCTCTCCTGTCTGTTCGGACGCTGGTGGTTTTGCTGGTCGGGAGGCGGCCGGCCCAAGCTGAAATGTTTATGCTTCACTATCTTGCTAAGATGACTAATCAGGATATACACAGGAGAGAAGATTAACTTTAACTGCAAGATTAATTACATACATTTGTGCGTAATTGCATATACTAGGATGCAATTACATGTGTTAAAACAGGTAAAACCAGGTGGCCAGCCTCCCCTTTATTGTCAACACATTTCAGAAATGTCCTGAGTCTTTTATTTTTTCCTTGAATACTTGCTGTCCGTTCTTTTGCAGCCTTTTAAGACTGTTTCCGTAGCTCCCGTTGTAACTGTTGTTGCCTTTGTGCAGCACTGCCAAGAAACTTACTACCCAACAGCCTTGAGGAGCGGCACTTCATATATTTATCAGGTTGCAGGATCTTCTCCTCAGTTTTTTTTTGGCACCCCCTGCAGCACCTAGAGGATTTGGGGGCAGGGGTTTGAATTGGCCCCCAGCCTGCTCAAGTTGCTCATCCTTTCTGTTACAAACAATTTGACCATGTGGGACTTGTGTCCTTTCTGTAGAACGTAGTTAGTTTGGTTGCCATCTCTCCTCCTCCTCCTCTTTGTCTCTTTCTCTCGAGACTTTGGGGACTAGTGATACCCAGAGACTGTCAGAAGTTGGCTTTATGTGCCAGATGACTGGAAGCTTAGAGGCAGCGTCTTGAACTGATCCACAGCCATTTTTTTTTCAAAGCCTACCAATATTTTATGAAGCACTTCTGAAAGCCAAGGAGAAGATGGGCGCTGGGAGGATTCCTGAATACATTTATATTCAAATTGCAATACATGGCTTTAAATCAAATGCTGTCTGCAGAAAGCTGGCATAGAATTTTATTCCTTTGAAAGATGCCTTTTTGGGGGTGTCTGATTCTGCTGATGCTCAGGAATAAAACCTCATCAGTTTTTACTGATGACAGCTAAGGTTTAAGTTTGGAGGGGTTTTTTCCTCCCTCTTCTCTTGTTAAGATATTAACATTTGCTCTCTTTTGGACATGACAGGCTACCATCCATCAATAAGCTGAATGGGAGTGTCATTGTAGAAGGAGAGCGAGAAGACTCAGAGAGATTTTTCATTCGTTATTACATGGACTTTCCCCAGGAGGAAGCCCCTTTCAGGTGAGATCACCTGGACTCAGAATTTGGGATACCGGGAATGGGTGTGTGGCTAACACAACGTCTAAGAAATCTGAAAATGCAGTGCCCCAGTTTGAACCTCACCTTTACCAGAGCCAGTTGGAGCTCACCAAGTCTTTTGGACTACAGCTTCCATTATCCACCATCATTGGCAATGCAGGCTAGGAATGATGGGATTGTAAGTTTTGTAAAAGACTATTTGGGGGCCAGCTACGCCCTTTAGCAAACACAAGAGCTTTAGTGGGCCATCTCTGCCTTTAGAGTGGATGTAGTTGACCCTGTCATGTAAGGGGGTTAGATGGTAAATGTCGAAGTCTAAGGTGGTAAGCGGATGCTAAATGCTGTCTGTCTTGCTTACTGTACCCTCTCATCAGTGCACCCAGTACCTTATAGCTATTGCGTGGCCAGCAGACGGCCCCTTATTCCCAAGGAGCTAAAAATCAGTAACAGTGCTTCTCGGCATTGTGTCTGTTCTGTCCCAGCCATCATTCTTTGAGAGAAGCTGAATCCCAGTTTTTTTTTCCCTGGGAAAGCTATTTATAGTAAACATCCAAGTGGAAGCCTGTTCTTACATTTATAATGTGCAGAACACTAGCTAGCCACCTGGATTAGAAGATGGAGAGAGATAATCAAATGTCTCGAGTCCAGAAGGTCGGAGGTGGGTGGCACGCAGCACGAAGTAAGTTGGGTAGGACTCCACAGGTCACCCTTTTAAGAGGACATGGGAACCGAGAGGGAAGGAGTCCTTAGGAATTGTTAGGATAAACTTACATCCCGCCTTGATGGCTTCTGTATGTGCCACTGTTTGAGAACCACTGATCTAAGACAGTAGGCAAAGAGAATGAAAAGGAACATTTTGGGCACATGGCGTTAGGCAGAGTTACAGCAGGAAACAAGTTGAGAAGGATGAGCCAAAGTGTGCAATGCGTAAGAAGCAATATCAAACTAGTGGAATTCAGTATACTGCCAAACTGGCCTTTACACATATATGAAATTAGCCTGCCCTCTTCTTTTAACTGTTGTTTTCCTGACCCTTCTTCTGAAGAACACACCTCTTGATGCCTTGGCAGTCCCCTGTGTCGTAACATCTTTCAGAAGTCATTAAAATGAATATATGAAAAAAATAATAATCTGTGGGTGAAATTGAAGCCTGGGAAGCACCTTGACTTCGTAAAGGTGGCAGATTTTGCATGACCAGTGCATGCCCTAAGCAGGGAACATAAGTCACTGCTTGAAATTCATTACTGCAAATATAGAGAGGAATAAACTATTGGCGTGTGGTCACTTTTTTTCTTTAAATGTGGCATAGAAAAGCGAGTTTGGCTGCTGCATTCATTCCACCATGGTGATTTTGTCTTGGGAGTGGAATGTCACACATCAGAATCTTTTTGGGTTAACTCACTTGAAAGATTTTTCCGGAGTGCGGCAAAGTCTAGGCATTCCTCTACAGCCATTTAGCTCGGAAAGATTTGGCTGTCAGTGGCCAGCAAAAAGAAATGGACCAGCGAGATAAAACTACAGACCTCTTAGGGGAATGCTAGGAGCAGCTAGCTAGCTAGCCCTTCAGAATCAGAAATGCTGAGGACATCTGTCAGTATTAGGTGGGCAAGCATTAAAGCAATGAAGACAAAAGGAATTTACTTGGAGAGAATCAAAAAGCTGAGTTCCTTGGGGACTTAGTATCGTTTCCAGATTCATCTCTTGGTTATCTAGGAAGCACTGAATGTGTCTGACTTTGATAAACTGTGTTTTCCCAGAGACCTCAGAATTGTTATGAGCTGTTCCCAGGGCTGAACTTGCAACTGGCAAAAGGAATGAATGAATGAGCCTTTCTATCTCATGTTGTAGGGCAGAAGTCTAGACTCATTCCTAGTGCCGCTCACTTACGCCTGGTGTTTATGTGCAGGTGATTGCTCTTCCTCGCTCACTCAGCCGAGCCCTCTGAGGCATACAGTGGAAACAAGTTCTAATCCCTCTGTCTGGCACCAGTGTAAAATGCCTTATCCTCTTGCCATCTGCTGGTGGAGAGGATAAGAGGAAGGCTTAAAACTCTCCTGCAAAACCTTGTCAAGTTGCAAGTGTCTGTGGCCAAAAACAGAATGGATTTAAATGGCATTGTTCATCGGTGGTTTTCCTCATTCCTCCAGAATGGAGTGAACATTTGATTGGCGCCCAAGCTTCCAGCGGGAATCCCTTAGTCCAGCTTTTCACAGAGAAAAGCTCTCCAACTGTTTGCAGTGCCCATCAGACCCGAACAGGATGGTCTGCAGCTGGAGAGCACGGAGGGTGTCCAGAACATCTGAAAGGCACTGGCTTGGTGAAGTCCGGCTTAGCCACTCGCTTCCTTACGGGAGCCGCCATGCTTTGATGCACCTTTGCCAGTGTAGCAGGATGAGGTTTGCCGATTGTGGTGGCTGTTGGCCAAGAGGATGAGGTTCGAGGAAGAAGCCCTGCAGCCTGAATTTTGGTAGCCTGGTGGGAGTCTTCTCTGTCAGTGGGTACTAATGGTGGTGGGGAAATGCTAAGCTATGGAGAGGAAACCTGCAGCGTTGTTGTTGTTGTTGTTGTTGAGCTCAGAAGAGAGAGAAAGTCTGGGAGTAGCCCCTCACAAGGACTTAAGGACAGCACAGCCTAGAGCAGCTTATGTGATTCAAGGAGGCAGCGAAGCTTTCTAAGATCTACTGAGGAGCCAGGAATGGACTGGAAGGTCTGGTGGGAAGGATTTCCAAGTGAGCTCAGCTGAGAGGAGTCATGGCAGAAGGACTAGGAGTGTTTTAAGACACACACACCTGGAGGAAGACCTTTTGAGCTAAGGACAGGGGGGGTCTCTTTGCCTCTGTGATTGGCTTTCATTGAAAGCAAGGCTGGCTGGAAAATAATATTGCTTCGCCTTTTCCTGCATTGAACTCATTCGATGTTCCCTTTGCCACATATATAATACCAGACCCAGAGAGAGGTGCTATTTGAAGGTTGAATACTCTTCCTGTAAAAGGAAGAATGGGTTTCCTGTTCCCACAGAGCTGGGAAACAGGTTTCCATCCCTGACACTAATGCCGGCTCCTTGTAGGGTGTTTTTGGCATCGGAGGGTGGGATAACGAGCTATTCCCACCTGTTCCCAGGTTGTGTGTAGACAGGGCGGGGACTTACCCCTGGACTCTCCGTGGTTCGTAGCCTTTAAGCAATGCGGTGTCTCTCTCCCACCCTTCTCTGCTCAATGGCCCCTTTGTCCAAATTCCCTCATCTGTGCGGGGTCTCTAATAGACTTTTGAACCCATTAAAGGTGGTGGTCCCCCCCCCCCCGTTTCACAGAGCTAGTGTGCCATTTCAGAAATATCTTTAGACCAGGTTGCATATGACTGAGATGGTGTCTTTAGGGACCAGCTTTTGCATCCTGGAACCTTTCACTTAAGCTTGATGCACAATGTGTGGGGCGTCAGGCCATGTATGTTCCCCCCCCACTTCTTTTATTCTTCTTTTCCTTTACAATCCGAATTACAAAGCACCTCCCCTCTCTTTTCTGCCTTCAGATTCTCCCAGACCAGCCCCCATTGTATCAGCAACATCGTTCCTCTGTTGACACCCTAAAGTTTAGAGCCCCCTGGGTCAACTTTGAGGTGGCCCTCAAAAGTGGCTTCCATGCTTTCAAGCATGCCTTCTAGCCTGAAACAAAACACATCCCCTGACATTCAAAATAAATAAATAAACCAATCTGACATGTTGTGAAATACACCGTGAAAACATTAGTAGTATCAAAGAATAACGTGCGTTTTCAGTGAAACTGTAAGACCAGTTTAAAACAGCAGTGCCCAGCATGTCAGAGAAAGCAGCTCAAAACAAATAGTCCTTTAGAAGTTATACAGCCCTAAGTACTGCAAGAGAATGGGACACACTTTTACGGGGTCACAACCAAGAAGCCCCTGCCCTTTCATGCCTGCCCACTTAACTGCTCTCAGTAGAGAGAACATTAGGAGGACCTCCAAAGCTAATCCACTTTACTTCCCTGACGTGTGGTCATTCCATCATCAGAGGGGCAACAAAAATTCTCTGGCCCATCCTGTGTTTCTCTAAGTGTAAAATTAAAATGTCACCCATCCAGTTATCATATAGAGCATGTTGCCAAAAATGCTGAAGGTTAAGATGCTGATAGTCGCAGCAAGAGATGAGAACAGATAATTGGGCACGGCAGCCAAAAATCTGACAAAAGTCTTCTGGTTTCAGAATGATTGGCAGGTGCTCCTCCTTATATCCTAAGTGTGTTTCCAAGGCATACCTGGCCCTGATCCCTCCTCTCCTGAGGCACTGCTCCACGTCTTGCCCTTTGACTTCAAGCGCAGAGGGAGGTTGCTGAATTGTTTTCTTTTTATGTTCTGATACCATTGTGACTAGATAACTTGGGTAAACTTGTGTTACTCTTGCCTTTGAACATTTGTCACTTTATATAATCTCTGCAGAAAGTAGTGATTGAATGAAACCAAATATATTGAGCGTTCCTCTTGCAATCTCGGGGGATGGACACTTTTTAAAGGGTCTGAGGTTTGTTGGAAACACAAGCTCAAAATGTGTACTCCCTAGCTCATAAAATCATGAAGCAGGCCAGTGTGGGAGAACTAAAGTCTAAAAGAAAGGAAGCAATATTCCCCACATTGCTATCTTTCTTGGTTCACAATTCAGGTATACCCCAAAAAGCCATTCAGGTGTTTGGAGTCCTGCTGAAAAAAAAAACATTGTTTGAAGGTATGATTGATTTCTGGAGTTTCATCTTGTTCTTTTCGTGCCCTGTGCTTGTTTCACCTGTGCAGAAAATTTAGCCGTGCCATGAGTTTTGGGAGAAGTGCAGCAGTGAGAACATTGTATTGACTTCTTGTCAACAGAAACACTTCCTCGACTCTCTTGTCCATCTGTAACGCTCTGTGTGAGGCAGGCTTTTGCTTCTTGCTCAGAACAAACATGTCACTCATACCTCTGCCGAAATAACGTTTGCAACAGTTCACGTAGGAAGAGCGGAAACCTTTTCTCTGACCCATGCTGTGTGAGCCACACATGCTGTTATGGAGCGTTTGGTGGCCAGCAAGCTGGGGCTTTTCCCCTGATCGCTTTCCCACTGCTAGTTTAACCGCCGTTGGCGGCAACAGCGTTTCTGAAAACGTGTGTGTTTTCTTCTTTTACCAAGTAGCCGTTTTCCCAAACGGGCTGATTCGTATCTCGGCATTAATCATGAGAGCCGGTGGAGTAGAGTGCGCTCGAGTGCTCCACCCCGATGAAGGCTGGTTTTGTCCAAGATGCTGTAGTGTGCTGTGTCGGTTCCCTCATATTCCAGGCAGACAGAGGCTCCGCTGTTGAGGGGACATTCCTACATTTAACAAGAGTCCCGCGGGGTAGGGGTGGGGGCCCTCTCCCGTTGCCAGGCTCCATCATCCCCTGATGGGAGCAGTGACACAGCAGCGATCACGTTCAAGCCCCTGAGTGGGGCACAGGACAAAAGGAGCATTCAATCTTGGCCACTGCTGGGAGACTCTGAAATGTTACCTTCCCTCGGCCACTCTTTGTCTTTTCAGTTACCTTGTACTTTGGGTTGACTTTTTGCCACTTTCCCAGCCCTGACAGAAACGATGCTGCCTCCTTATTATTAACCGGAGGGATACCTGATTTGAGGGGAAGAGGCAGAATCCTCGGGAGGCTCATCTTGACACACAACAAAGTAGCATCTCTAGGAGGACGGAGAAACTTGTTGAACGGGTTCATGGCCACTGGCCAAGGCTCTAGTTTTTTTCTCTTCTTCTTTTCTGCCTACTGATGGGAGGACATCCCCGGTTTTTTTCTTCTTCTTTTTCTCACCACAAGATATTTCCTGCAGGTCCAGATGAGAGTCAACATGTGTGCAGTTGCACCAAACGGGGCTAGCTGCTGTCTGGACACTGAGAAACAAGCATCGGATGGGTTATTTGTGCAATTTGTTTGGTCACCTAGCCCTTCTGTGCTTCTTCTGGGTGTAGGCATCTGGCTTTCCAAAAGGAAAAGCCACCACTTTTGGACCAGCCCTGGGTGGTGAGATAAAAGCATTTACTGGCAGGAATTCTGGAGAAAGCTGTAACTGAAGTAGGCCCATTGGCTCAGTGAGGATTTGGTGGGTCAACTCCAGATGTCCCACTGGTTCAGTGGGCCTTCTCTAACTGTGACTAATTGCTGGATTTCAGTGGGTGAGATTTTTATTTTTCACCAGTTGCTTTGCTCTTCTAGTCACTATTTGCTTTGATTTTATCTTTCAGTTTGTGTTTCAGTTTCTGTCATCACCTGTCTTGAAGTACCTTCTCTCATACCACCTCATGATACATTATTCTGAAGGCATTTAATAAAACGAATGAATAGTTACAGCACTGTGCCATGCCAGAAATGCAGGTCTCACTCCAGTGTCTTTATCTTTTTCTTCTTCCCTTGCCCCCCTCCCCCATTCTAGGTATCATGAACTAGTGACAAAATATGGCAAGCTGGAAAAACTGGCCGTGGTAGACCTACGGCCCCAAAGCAGCGCAAAAGTTGAAGTCCACTTCAAAGACCAGGTGGAGGAAATGAGCATCCGACTGGACCAGACCGTGGCCGAATTAAAGAAACAGTTGAAGTCTTTGGTCCAGTTGCCCACCAGTGGTATGCTGGTCACCTACTTGGATCACGAAGCTCCCTTTGGCCCTGAGGAGATGAAATACAACTCGCGGGCCCTGCACTCTTACGGCATTCGGGACGGAGATAAAATCTACGTAGAGCCCAAAACCAAGTAGCTTTGTCTGCTCCCAATGGCGCTCCACCCCATGCACGCAGCCGAGGAGCCCTCTGCAAGTCCGGGGGGGAGGGGAGGGATTTCATTTTGGTCCATTGGTTGAGGTTCAGTTTTAGGTAAGCCCCAGGTAACTTCCCTAGCCCAGGTTAGCAGGCCCCGATCCATGAGATGGACGCCACAGTCCAGCACAGATGAGGACGATGGTTTCAAACAGCAGGGGGTGGACTTTAAGCACATGTGCGTTTCCTCTTTGATTCCTCTTCAGCTGCGCCGCTATACTTGTGAACTCAATATTAAAAAAAAAAAGGAAAAGGAAACAAAGGAAGGCTTTTTTCAAAGCGCCAAAGGGTGACTGTGGGTGCTCAGTCAGGGAACGGAAGGTTCAGAACCTACACGAGGTACATGTTTAAGACGTTTTGTGCGGCTTTTGTTCACGGCTGGACTCGGATTACACACGGTCACTTTGCGGTCTCTCCACCTGGGTGGTCTTGTCATCTGGTTGTTATCCAAGGTTAGGCTGGATGAAAAAAAATGTCCTATCAGCTGTGTTCCATAAGACTTGAGTCTGCAGGACCAGTCTCTAAGCTGAAAGCTATTTTTCAGAAAAAAACGAGAGGCACGAAACACACAGGGCACGCCCACGTTGCAGCTTCCCAGGTACAGTAAGCAGAGTGCCCTGCTAAGCTGTGATGGTTTCATTAACTTTTACTTCGCTTACCAGCTTTCAGGAAGCCCTTGGGCATTCAGCGGATAGCACTTAGGATCATGGGCCAATATATCTGGCGTCACTTAGTCGGCTCATCTTCTTTGTGAGGGTTCGCTCTTAGTTGCTGGAAACAGCCCCTCAAGTTGTGAATGGCTCCTGTCCTGACCATCAACCTGGCTCTTTGCCAAAGGCCCCTTATATGTTCTGTATGGTAGCATTTTTAAAACTGGCTCCTCCCTCTCCTCCTTCCTCAAAAAAACCATGTGTTTCTTTCACTTTCCTGCTTTAATCTTACAATAACCTTGCGAGGTAGGGTTGGTTGAGAAGTAGGAATGGGTTCATGGGCCTTTAGGGAGCTGCATTGTATTTGAGCCAGTCTCCTCCCTGGTTCCAGTCTTCATATTAAGACTGCTGCAGCACAGTGGAAACCAAGGCCTGCGCCACTCTAGATGTTTGCTAGTACTTTGCACTTTTTAATGCTGATACAAGGGTTCACCAGAGCTGTTGGTCATCCACGGTGATGGTTCACCATTTGTGGGTATGAGGTGTTGAACTCTTCCAGTCTGAAGATCTCCCAGAAACAGTGCATTACATAGAGCAGAGCGTGGCAGGCGGGCTTCTCTTGCGTGCTCTAAAAGCAAACCTCCCAACAGTGATGTGGCTAGAGGGATGGGTATGTTTTTTTGATCAGAAACATGGGAAACCATCACGAAGGAGATACAAAACGCTGTCTACTGTTCTTGGAGAACCTCTCTCCACCCATCTTCCCTGCCCTCCCACTCCCCATTGCCATTTTATGTAGCTAAATCCTTTTTATGCTAGCTCCATTCTTTAAAACAAAACATGTTTACACTGTAAATCAGACGGGACTGTTCATCAGTATTGCCCTCCTTTGCTCATCAGTCAATCTGACAAGCTGAAAACTGAAATAGCCTTCAGTTTTACACATGTACAGTTTACAAGCAAAAATTGTGGCGAAGGAAGTATTTTCCCCAGGCAGTGTGGCTGGGTTCTTGTTATTTATGAACCGTTGACCTTGGTTGCTTCACTTCTCTGTCTTGACATGTAAGGTTTCTTCCTTGCAATCTTTCTCCATTCTCATAGGTGGTACTTTTTTTCCTTTGTTTCATGCATCCAAATCCTTGGGCATTTTTCTCTTTTCACTAACATTCACAACACTTTTTTTTTTTTTGTGGGCAGTAACATTCCACCTAAGTTCCTATACTAGGTGTAGAGAGATGACAGCTTGAGGCAAGATAAAACTGTTGCCTCCTCAATGCCTGTTGAAGGCTGTTGTTTCTCCTGCAGACCTTTAAACATAAGCAAATAGACAAAGACTTGCATGTGGAAACAGTAGCCCATTCTATGTGTATGTCCAAGAGATTCCAGAAAAACACGTTGGAAAGACTCTTGGTTTTATAAACAATGGTACACCTGAAGTTCTTTTCACTCTGTTCTGGTAGCAAAATGCCTTTTTGCTACCTAGCACTTGAGTTCTAAACCAATGCTTTATGTACAATGGTGTGTATGTGTGCGCGTGCACGGGTGTGTGTACAAATATTTACCCATAAGGGGGAAATAGTCCTGTTAATAAGATATTTTATTATAAAGCAAAGGTTTATTGAGAGATAGAATTGTGTAATAATAGACTATTATTTTACCTGTGGACCTACGGTATAAAGACCAGTAGCTCTCCAGTTTGTGTCAGAAGATGGATGAGAGTATGAAGGAATGCTGTCTGATGCTACAATACAGCATTTCTCAATTTTTATCCTCTATATTATAGAATAATAACATATTAATGAGATACTATTAAGTGCTGATTGGCTGTGTTCACTGCACAGGGAGTTGCATCGTTGAATGAAATATCCCACATATTAAAAGTCTATGAAGGGGTTCCCTTGAAAATTTATGTGTGTGTGTTTCTGTTCTCCAGAGAAAGGCATTGCTGAATTCTTAAGGATTGTATAGGATGTGGGAAACACAGAACTGTGTGATCTCTGTGCGGAAATTAGAAACCTGCATCTTAAATGATCATCTTACCTTGCATATGTTTGCGTTCTGTTTATCCCCATGCAAAGGGAAGGAGACGACGTGAGGCAACTCCACTTCTGCCTCGTTGGCTGGTGGAAACTTTATTTGGACACCTCTCTGACTTCAAATATTTTGTTGTTGAATTTTCCAATGGGGCAGCAAGTGTGTCTGTAGTGGTTGAAACAAAAAACAAAACAGGAAGAAGCCAAGTCTTTTGACACTTTAAATTCTGATACATTTTATGCTACCCTCTGCTTTCCTAGACTTTTTGCTCTGCCTCAAAATTGTGCTAGTTCTTAAAGTGCCCCAATATGCCCTGTCGCTTACCTTTACTTTGGGCATCTCTAAATGTCGCTCATACCCCTTGTCCAAATGAGTGACTCCTTTCCACTTAAAATGGCCTGTTGCAGCCAGTAAGTCATCCCAACCTGCCAGCAGCATCAGCCTTTCCTGTCTCTCCTCTACCTCCACGTGGCACTGATGGAATATCTCTAATTGCAAACTCCAGTACAAATAGATGTGCATTTAAAAAAAGGAGAACGTTGTGCATCCTTGTCAAGCTGTGGAGCTGTATAAGATGTTTATGACCTGTGCTGATGCTATATTGGGTTGTTTCTGATTTGAGTTCTGGACAGAAACTGGTTTTGCTCAACTTTTAAAGGAAGCGTCTGAATGTTCTCTGTGGAGATCAGTTTCAGAGGTGCTGTTTTAGAGAACAGCACGGGTGGCTATCGCTTAGCAAAGGCACGTTTGCTGGCTCCAGGCAAGCTAAAAAAATTTAAAACATTTCTCCTTGGTTAGCTGTTGCTTGAATTGACCTTAAGATGAGGTTTGGTTCACAAGGACCAAAGTCATTCTTACCACTGAACCCATTGGTCGCTTGATCAATTATGCCCAGTAGGCTAGCCAATATGGTTGGAGATAATGGCTTGCTTTGGAGCGGCCTCCTTACTCCTGGCCTCTGGCTTCCAACATGGCAGTTGATGCATTAATTGGCTTCATGCCGTCTTAGAAACCATAGCCTTCCTTCCCAAGCAACTAAGTGTCTAGTTCTCATTGGTGTTCCCTGCCTGTACAAAGCTCACTGTACGTTAGCTGGTGTATTCTGTGCACTGGAAAGAGCCATTCCTTTCCCGTTTGTGATCTCCTTTGGCTTCTCCAAGGATCTGCACTTTTCCAACATAAGTGAGTGACATTCAAAAGTATTCATGTCCCTTGTCAAGTCCACCCGTGCAAGCTGATTTCTTCAGATTCTTGTGTAATTCTCAGCAGCACTTTTTCCCTCAGCTCATATTGAACTTGTGGTGTTTGGATGTGTAAGATGCAGAACTCAGGGAACTGTTTGTCTCTGGGTCTAAGCCATAGAAAAATATATATGATGAAATAATGTTATTGGGGGGGGGGAATATGGACATATGTGATTCCAGCAGTTGGCTGTAATACGTCTGGCTTAGGAAAAACTGTTGGTTTGCAATATGGGGAGGAAAGGGGGCAAATTCTGTGCATGCTAGACCCAAATTTAGCATTCAGAATAAATTATGCAAATTGTCAAACCTGCATCTAATTCTGCTTCCATCATTAAGCTGGGCAAAGCATTCTGAATTTTATATGCAGATTTCCGTCTTGAAATGGCATGCCAAAAGGAGGGAGGGACAGAGGGAGGAAATCTGGGAATTGGGGATTAGATAGCCTGTATGCATTGTGAAGAAAATACAAAGGAGTTGACCTGCTGCTGAGGGAAGTGAAGAGACATGAGCCACAAGTCAAAGTCATGGCTTTTGAAAGTCTGAGGTTAAACATAAGTAACTCTACTGAAGTAAAAGGAATCTACAGCCCATTTCAAAGGATGTTTATCCATCATTAAATCTCGGTGATTAATTCCTTGAGTCGATTTAACAGTGTGCTTAAACAATGCCAGTTTCAGAGTTAGCTATGATTGCCTTAGGCTCCGGAGTGCACACATGAGCTTCATGTTCTAAAATGGTTGGAAACACTGTCTTGAGACTTACGTTCCCCGAAGGGGCCGAACCCTGTGGACCTTGAGCCAGGGGCACTGGGAGTGTTCAGTGACTCGGGGTATGGAAAGTGCACTGCCCTGCGAGACGGCCCTTAAAACTTCAAAGCCAGTAAATTCTGTAAATAGATGCACACATATAGATAATATGGGTTTTAAAAGAAGGGGGTGTTGTTTGTTTTTTTTCAGAAAAAAAAGGGGGGAGATAGCAATCCATGGAACCATGGATCATTTGCTAACATTTTCCATTCTTAAGCTAGAAATAAGCCCTACCAAATTCAGTAGAGCTGGCTTCTGAGTAAAGGGAGCTTCAACTTGACGCTGCATGTAGGAAGTCACAGGTTCAATCCCAAATTAAACCCAGAAATGGCTAAGAAAGACTCTTGCTTGAAACTGGACTGCTATCACTGCAATTCCAAGTTAACAATACTGGACTGGATACACCAAAAGTGTGGCTCAACATACAGTATCTCCTAAGCCTCCCCACTTCTGCTTATTGGCAGATGGGCAGACAAAAGAGAAACCCTTCTCCCTGCCCCCAGCACCCCCAAAAGTGTCATGCCTGAAAGCCAGTGGTGGAGAAAAGGAACTGACATCACCCGACTTCATTTATTGCATTTCCAATCGATTTGGTCCATCTGTTCCCTCGAAGCTTGGTGGTTTGAAAGGGTGAGCTGTGGCAACCTTGTAAGGAATCGTTTAGCTGGGGTGCATAAGAATTAAGTATTCTGCCATGGATGTCCTTTTTATAAGGGATGGGAATCAATTTCTCGACATTTAACTTCATGAGATGCACTTCAAGCATCAAAAGCTGAAAATGATATCGTAAAATATTTGGAGGTGGAGAACTATTGCTTCTGCTTTGGTATTTCTTCGAAGATTTGAAAATGCCAAGATTTCATCCTTGCAAATGCTCCTTGATGGATTAAAAGCACCAAAGGTGATGGTTTGGCAATTGTGGCATATTGAACATTGCATCATGAGATGAATTAATAGTACACGACACAAGGAATAGAGAGACAAATCTAATTGTTTTATCAGCCTCTATGGAGAAGCTCAGGTTTCTCTGCCAGGCCCTCTTGGCTGATCTCCCGCTCAGACAAAAGGGTGGGGCAGAGAAGTCTGTGCTCTTGCTTGTGACTGGGAGATTAGCCAAAGAGGTGGAAAAAGCAAGCAAGATGGGCCTGGTGAGGGAGGAGGCGAGGGAGGGGAACAGCAGCATCTGTGCTGCTGCCACATGGAATGAACCGGTTCATGCCCATCTCTATTGTATCTAATCTGCAACAAACATTTATGTACAAACAGAGGCTGGTTGTAAGGGGCGGAAACTGAGATGATCCACATTGCCTATCCACCTCTCCTTTGACACTCATGATACAAAGTCTTCCTCACAAGTGCCCTGCATGTTCAGCACAAACATCTGATGCACCAGCAATGTTGACCTGTGTGGAATCCATGCCCATTTTGAACCTCCGAAGTGGTCTCAGAATGCAGAAAGGAAAGTCTCGAAATGGGACATCCATTTATGCGCAAAGCTTCGCCATCTACGTACTTGTAATAAGCGGTGGCACTTTCACATACCTATATCTCTTAACACACATAGGATTTGTGCAAAGTTGGAAAAGTTACTTTTAGATCACAGATCTCACCCCTCCAAAAAAAAAAAGTCTGTGATGGATTCTTGGAGCTGACAAATTTCCAATATCTGGTTTTCTATTTACTTTTTTTAGTTAATGAAAGAGTATGTAATCTCAGAGCCAGGCCTTCAAGATCAATGCACCGACCCTAAAATCCTCCTCCAGGCTTCTAGAGGCTGGTAGGTATGTCGTATCTCTGCAGCTGGAGAACTTCAGCTAGACAAAACAGGGAGCATCACTCCCAGATTTTAGGACTGCAGAGCCCAGCGAACAACAAGCTGCTACTAGGGCCAAGATATGTCCCACTGCAACAGGTTTACCCGCTCTGTGCCCCTGAAATGGTTTATTGTTTCTAGAGAATGGGGGGGGGGTTATCGGTTAATCGAGCTCCACCCCTTGTTTCTGATTCGCCAGACTATCAACAAGCGTGCATGCAAAACAGACCAGTGCCAGTAGAGCCAAGAGCTACAGTAGGTCAGAAGCTGCTTTGTGTCTTCAACAGTGGGAAAGCAGGCAGAAAATCAACAGGAGCAACTCTCTTCTCCAAGAAACGATCAGATAGAAGACTCCCATCCATGGTCCCCCATCCACCAGGAAAATTCAAGCAGAATTTTGCTAAACGTCTCTAAGACAGTTGTCTTTAAATCTTAATTTTGCAACTAAATCCTTCAAGGGCACAAGTTCCTGCTTCCTCCCTGTTTTGAACAGCCAAACGCTCCAAACTTTTTTTTTTCCAAAGCTATGAAGAGGCAATAATTGGTATGAACAAGGTTGATGGTTCTCAACCTCCCATTGTTGCTCTGATGCTTAAACAACCGTTGAATCTCCATAGAAGCCGCATCGCTCAAAACCATGAGCTGATCTTGGGGCATTGTGAAAAACCGCAGAACAGGCAGATGTTAAAAAAAAAAAAAACAAGATCCAAAATGAGGTTGTTTTCATAAACGGGCAACTTTGAAAATCACAGGAGTTTCTCTCTTCTTTCCCCATCACATAACCTTTTTTAAATAAATAAATTATGTAAATTTGGTAAATGGAAAAATGGCTATTGGGCCTCTGTTGGAGCACTCTACAAACCAAATTAAAACTAACTTTGCTTCCCAAGGCCTTTTCTTGTATGTGTGCACATTTAATTCCTATGCTGTCTAATGCTAATTCTGTAACCCTATATATACCCTACCTCAATAGCACAAAGGAGGAAGGGTTGTCTTCCCCCCCCCCCTCTTTGTAGGGTTTTTCCCCTCCTCCTAAGTGAAAAGTGACTCTGATCAAAACAGCCACATACCCAGTTCCTTAGAGCTTTGATATTTTCCTCCTGGATCTCTAGAAAGGCTTAACTTTTTTGGAAAGACAGCAAAAGCAAGAGACGGCTCCAGGTTCGCAACCCCACATCTTTGGGGTGTGTGCCAGGATCCATAAGAAAGAAAGAAAAAGTGGATTTATGATTCTTAACTGAAACCCAAAAACACAAGGGGAAAATATTTCTTTTATTTATTTTTCTAAACGTTGGAAGATTAAACAGATTTTGGTGAGACATCTACCATCCGTATTTGGCAACACGTTATTGACATGCGGCCTTCTATGATCTAATTTTCTCCCAAGGTGTATCACATTTTGGAATTTCAGATTAAATTTTCCTCCACATTGCCACAAACCAGGTTGGTCATTTTCCCCCTCTCTCTATCTGTTTTTATAGATTTTCTTCCTCCCTGTCTGCTTCCCTTCCTCCAAAGCCTCTCCTATAACTCTTGCTTTGCAGCTTTTGGTAGCTTGCTTTTATGAGGGTATATCAAGGATGTTTGGTAGAATAGCTGAGTAGGTACCTTTACATTTCTCTTTGTCTGATGCTTCCCAAAGTCAGGAGAAAGTGCGAGGAGCCAGAATTAATCCGATTCCTCCAGCAGGGCAGAATTATGATCAGTATAATGGGCATGTTGAGTTTATTGAATACCTGAATAGTCTGTCTCATCTGCTATTATCACTGTCCGCTCCTGGTTATATATAGATAAATGGTGAAATTTCAGCTTAATATCTCTTATACACTTATCCTGCATACATTAAACATGCAAAGTGTCTGCAAATAATTATATATCTCTTCTTTATGTTGTAATTCTACATTTTATGATTCACGGTATCACTTTTCCTTCTGCTTCTAGAAGAATGAGATTGTAGATGCTAAAGAGGCTGTGATATGTATATGAAATTGGAGGGAACACTATAGGAAAATACATTTCTATAGTTAAAAGAATTTTTGAAAATAATCACTGACGACTGGGCATTACACGAGGAACCAGGGCATTTCCTGAAATCAGTTATCCATGCATAGTTCAGATCCGGTGAAAGTCAAATATGTGGGTGATCCCACCCCAACAAGTTCAGTGGGGTGGTTTAATCAAGTCTCCACTGAACTCTAGTAAATCAATGGTACATTTGAAGGTTTGCATGTTTTTCCCTTGTCATGTGAGTTGATCCTACGGAAAGTATTGCCCAGTCATGGATTTTGGAATGGCAGTTTTCAACGAGATTTAAATTTAGATCTAGTTAAAAGGATGCACCCAACCAGTATCACACACACACACTTTTTTCTGTATATAAGCACTTGTGCAAAAAAAAAAATCCAGCCTTTTTTATGCCCACTTGAGCTAACGTCTAGTCGGATAGGGCTGTTTTTTCCCATCAAACTAAATGGGGAACACTTTGTGAGTTTCATTTATCTATCCATGTTCCTGTGCTTCGCCCTTGTTTCTCAGACAGAAGTGCACATTTTGATTTAATTTTTTAAAAAGTAATGAAATTGTGAGTGCTTTATCTTGAGAACTATTTTGTTCTGGATTAATCCAGAATGTCAATGCATGTCACATGTCATTGGGCAGGTAAGGAATGGAAATGTCTTCCCAAGAGGAATATATTATTGATCCTGTGCCGTTCTTGATCCTTTTCCCACCCCGCATCCATTCCATCTCCACCAAACTTATTTTCCCAAATTGATAGGTGTGTAATGCAAAGGACAGCCAGCTATGTTAATGTTTATACTTCCAACCTACTGTCAAGAAATGTTAAGGTATCCCAGCTATCCCAGAGAGAGAAAGGAAGAGGAGGATTAGTTAAAGCAACATATAAAGTCTTCCAGGGCCAATGGCCGATAATTGACTCCTGTTTTGGGATATAAAGAGAAGAGGTTCAGCCAAAAGCTGTGAATAGCAGATCATGAAGGGTTTGTTTGGGGTCATTACATGGTTGAATGTCCCTTCTCAACTGGTTCCATATTAAGCCTTATTAATAATGACGCTGGAGCCACTTTCTAAATGCCTTTCCCCATTCCAAGACAGAGACCAGTATTCTTCTGAATAACATCAGCTAAGCCTTTTATGTCTCCCTCCCTCACCCAAAACAGCCTGAAAGGCACTGTTCATCACTCCCCTCATTAAGAGGCTTTGGGTTTGTGTACGCAGACTAAGAGCTTTCACTCCAATTTTTTCCCCTATGATCTAGGCTAAGCAAATAATTTGAAAACGATCTTCATGTAACCTTTTGTGTGGCATTTACATAGGAAACTCAGTTCTGCATGGATTGCTCTGCTAGTTACACTGCCTGTTTTTCTTCTTCTAGGATGAATTATCCATCATTCTTGAGAAGCTGGGTGGCCTTTTCCTTCATAATTGCACGGCAGCAAGGTTAGTATTTCGGCTTTTCAGCAGCCCGATATTGATACTGTCTGAGCCCCTAGTAGGGGCACCTGCCATCCAGAACTATGCTGCATAAAAATCAGGTAGGTTTAGGCGCTGCCTCCTCAGTTATAAAGCACTTCTTCTAGATCATGAGCTGCAGGCCACCGGCTGGAGGTGAATTAGGTTCCCAGTAAATCGGATTCAGGTGCATACCACTACAGTATTCTGCTTTTAAAAACAAGGAGCAAGGAGGACGCTTAGATGTTACAGTCCAGAGGTGCAGTCTGTGGCTCCCGGATGTGTTTCCTAAGGGATAGTGGGAGTTAGAGTCCCCAAAAAATTACTTTTGGGAGTTCTGCCATAGACACTACAAGTGACAGCTAAGGGGAGTTGCAACCGACAACATCAGGAGGAAGTAAGAAGTCAGTGGAGAAGGCCACTTCAGCCAAAGGAAGGTTGTTTCCTGCAGCAGGGCTTTGGGTATGCTGAGAAATATGTGTAACTGAAGCCATACCACAGGGGAAAGTTTAGTTGTGTGGGTTTTCCAGTTGGGGAAGAAGGTGGGAAAGTTTATGCTAGGAGTTTCTTCCTGGTAGTTGATGCCTCCTGCGGTCCTGTGGGTTTGCATCCCGCAGGGCCCATTCCCAGACTACCAAAATGCACAGAACGGGGCCTCCAGGTGCAGTCACAAGTTCCCTGGTTCAACAGGAAGAGGCTTTTATTTTTTTTTCTTGGTTCTCACAAAACCAATTTGCTGTCCGGGTACCACCACCACCTCCCATAGGGATCTGATGGCAGCCTAGGGTTGCCAAGTGAGCAGCAGCCATCCCTTGGAATTTCACAGCCAAAAGCTGAGATCTGTGGGCTGTGATGAGGGACGAGCAGACCCTTCAGCAACAGTTGTAAAACTGTAGATAACTCTATGATGAATTTGAAGACTAAGGTGTGGATCCTCCCACCAGCAGTGCTAGATCATGCAAGGTAATCAAAAGGGCAAGGGTGCTTCTGAAGAGGTCCTGAAGCCATAAGGATGAACACCCAAAATCTAGCCATATCCCACTCCTTGAGACTTAAGGTCCAAAGTCTAAAACCTGAGCCTCAAGGCCAAAATGTGGAACCTGGCGATGCTAGACTGCAGACATGATTCAGCATTGCTCCACATGCTCTCTCCTTGGGAAGTAATGTGGAATGATGCAGGACAAGGCTTCTCAATGCTTTCCTCAAGGACAACAAATTCTTTCCCAGAGGAAAGAATTCTCAACTAGAGTTGTGAATTCATACTAATGCAAAAAATAAAAAAATAAAAAAAATCTACACTCAGGATTTTGTTGTAAGTCACAGAATCCCATCTATATTCTTGTTGGGTCCTTCATTTGTATCAGTTTGTGAAATCCACACACACACACATTTTCTATATGGAACTTTGGACATATGTTTCCTATCATTTATGCATTTATGGCCTTTCCTTCGTTGGGTATATATTTATACACATTTTTTCCTGTTGGCTCAAGTTTGGGCATGCTATTCAATTATATGCAACTTCAGTTTTCAGCATTGCCAAAATGTCTCCATAATTTTGTGCAAGGGAAACACACGTCAGGTCTTGGGAATTCATCCATTTCTGTAGCAAGGTGCACTTTTCTTTACAGAAAAGAGAAACTGGTAGCGTCGGCAAGAATCTTGAAACTGCCCGATTTGTTTTCCATTGCTACATCTAGACACTCTCCTTTCGTCTACTGGCACAGCTCAAGATAGATTCAAAGCTCTGGGAGAACGCATGAAATTCAATGTTTGTGTTCAACTACCTTTTTTTTCTGTTAGGTTTCTCAAATTTATGTTGGTGTTTTATTCTTTGACATTGTTACATTTGCAATGTCTTTGTTTTTGCGTTTTCTAAGCAATTTTGTAGACTTGTACAGATTGGGGGAAAAATAAACCAGGGTAGAAACAATATGATAGTAGTTAAACTGTTTCTTTCCCTGGCATTTTGGAGCAGGAAGCGATGATTGAAAACCTCTGCTCCAGCAAGTTACTGATTCTAGCAGAAAGCTTTTAAAGTAATGCTTTCCCCCAGGGTTCACACTTCTCTGGGTTTTTAGTGATCCCATAACTTTGTTCAGACAAGGAGAAAAAGCTGGTATCAACAGGTCAACTGTTTGCAGCAACTATATGGGATGCTAGGAATGACTGCATCTTCTATTGTGCATTTCTAAATACTTTTAAAAACCTTGAAAAATATGCAATATGCTTGGAATGGGAAAAAAAGATGAACAGTTATGAAATGATTTTGCTCATAGACAGAAGAATGCAAAAAAATCTATTTTTACAGCAGTTCGTACTATCTGCATCCATGTGCGGAGGTATGTTGACTTTGCAAGTGGTTGCATTGTGTGTCCTCTCCTTTTGATGACCTGAAACCTTAGGTGAGTGCATTTAGAACAGTACTTTCCGAACACTCATACACACACTGACTCACCACCAAAACCTTTTAACTCCGTCTGTCATTTGCAGGGGAAAAGAGATGAATGTTTTGCATTGCAAGTGCATGAACTTGGTAGGATGGAACCCTAGAATGGTATGGGATGAAGAGAGGATGGACAACTTGGGCACTATGGAGGCCCTCAGCTGAGACTGAGGGATGCATCTGTGGTCCCATTAAGCAGAGTAGAAAAGGAATGGACAGAGGCCTCAGTCTTATTCTAGCCTTCTTTTATGAAGCTTCTTTGAAGGTCTTCCCCTCCCCCCCCTTTATTTTACCTTTACGGCACTTCTGCTAATCCATTGGGTTGAGACGGAAGGCGCCTAGTCTGTTGTCACCCAGTTTCATGGCTAAATCGGAATTTGAACTGTGGTCTTCTGAATTCTAGCTTTAGTCTGTAATAATTACACCACGGTGGCCCAGAGAACGATCTACTGGAATGGCTGCCAGTAGGATTTTCTGCTCCCACCAGACTGCTTCTAATTTTCTAACTGGCTGTCTTTTAAGCACACCCATGCACACTATGGCCAGTTTCCTGTTCTTGATATCTACTAGAATAAATAGATTGGGAGACTCGGATTCACAGATGTGTTGAATTTCCCTTCAGCAATACAGGGAATGAGACTGCTTTTTAGCAATGCAACAATGGCCCATCTTATTTGCATCCACTAACTTATGGACTCTAAAGAGTTTTGATCCACAGTTTTCTCAGGCATGAATGAGAAAGTGCACCCAGTTCTTTTGTCTCTTTCTGTCTCTGCTTTTATGCACAGAACAGGAAACGGGATAGCTTTCTTGTTTCATTTTCTCCTGCATTTGAATTAGTTAAACCTCAAGTCCTTCTCCTCCTGAATATGCTATTTGCAAGCTTCAGTGTGTGTGTGTGTGTGTGTGTGTGTGTTTTTAAAGACTGAAATAAAATCCCCCCATTAGTACTGGCCAAGTTCAGGTACACCTCTTACAGGCATGAAGAGGACCATGTCATAATAGTCTGTTATATAGATCTCAAAGATGAAAAACCTTTTGGAGAGGGGGGAGTAGCAATTTAATTCAGTACTCATGAATCTGAATAAAGAAAGATGTAAGACCAGACTCTTAAAAGGAATGATCTTTCTTCAGAGATCTGGCATGCTTCCATAAGACGTAGTTTTCAATGCATGTTGAAAATGTAAAAAAATTATGCAAGTCTTCTGTGTATAGGCCATTCATAGCATGTATCCCATGGCCTGCACACATATATACATGCAGTAAAAGTTTAAGGCAGCAGGAAAAGAGGAAGACCAAATATGAGATGGATTGACTTCCTAAATGAAACCACAAGCTTGAGCCTTCAAGCAGGGCTGTTGAGGACAGGAAATTTTGGAGATTGCTCATTCATAGGGTCATCATAAATCAGAAATGATTTCACAGCTCTTAACAACAGGGCTGCAAAAAAGAGAGAGAGAGACAAAATATATTGCTATTTTGGATGCCTGTTTTGAGTGGAATCCATCTCTGTTGAATTGACACCTAGATAAATACTTGGGCACCTGGGACTTACTATAAATCTAACTCACTTTGAATGAATGAAATAAGTATTTCTAAATATATTAGACAAATATGCCATTTCACATTGATATACGATCTCTACACCAACCCCCACCCCATACCTCCAAAGTGCTCTTAAGCTTCTGGCTATAAATTGTCTGGTTTATTGGCCAGAGTAGACCAATGCAGGGAAAAGAGCCTGGGAGAAATTCTGAAACAGCCACAAAGGACAGTTGGCGGAGGGGTGTGTGTGTTTGTGTGTGTGTGTGTTGGCAATCTGTGGGCCAGGAAAAGAGGGTGAAAGTTGTCCAACCTGTTTTGGAGCTGGGTCTCAGCACATTGGAAAGTTCCTATAAAGTTCAGAATAAAAGTCAGAGCCGATTTGCCGCCGCCGCCACCCCATGATGTAGAGCCCCTGGATTTCCCTGCAGTGAAGGAAAGATGAGCACAGAGCTGCAGAGTTTAGAAAACAAAGAAGGCAGAACATTTCAGTTCCTTGTACTGCTCAGGCTGTTTGCATAAGTATCAAAGTAGAGAGGAGATAGAAGATAAGAAGACGGGCCACTACACAATAAATAGATGGCACCAAACGTGCAAGGCCACAACACTTGGGTAAATCCCACTTATTTAGTAGGTCTGCTCTAGCTGGGACTTCCATTTAGATTCAGGCAGCTGGGTGGATGTGTGAATTTTATTTTGAGTCTCTCTCTCTGTGTTCTGTGCTGTTAAGTTGGAACCGTCCTATAAGATAAGAAGACGGGCCACTACACAATAAATAGATGGCACCAAACGTGCAAGGCCACAACACTTGGGTAAATCCCACTTATTTAGTAGGTCTGCTCTAGCTGGGACTTCCATTTAGATTCAGGCAGCTGGGTGGATGTGTGAATTTTATTTTGAGTCTCTCTCTCTGTGTTCTGTGCTGTTAAGTTGGAACCGTCCTATAACAACCCTAACTGGGACTTCCATTTAGATTCAGGCAGCTGAGTGGATGTGTGAATTTTATTTCGAGTCTCTCTCTGTGTGTTCTGTGCTGTCAAGTTGGAACCGTCCTATAGCAACCCTAATAGGGCTTATAAGGTAAATGGGATATTTAAGACATGATTTTACAAGTTCCACTCTCCCACTGAGTTACTGTGGCCAAGTGGTGACTCAAACCCCGTTCCTAGTCTGTCACTCAACCCACTCAACCACAATGGGAATTTGGAACAAACAGACCAAACTTTAGCTGCCAGATTTTACCTTACAGCACAGATGGGTAAGAATTTCAATTTATTTTTATAACAATCTGTTAAAATACCCAAATTTCTTCATATTCAGAATTTAGAATTAAATTCTGCATCTCCAGGAGATTGAAATAATTTAGAATATGCAAAGATTTACTCTCAAAAGTCTGGATCTACATCGCAGGGAGCAGGGACCAATTGTTATGGTCCGCCCTCGAAGGCTACTGGATCCGA